GAGAGTGTTATACTGAGTGTGGCTGTACGTGACAACACATTGTTTGGAGTGTCCACAGTAGTGAAGAGCAGGGAGAGGGAGAGAGAGAGTGAGGGAAGAGGGATGAAGTAGGGAGAGGGAGGCGGAGAGGGAGGGAAAGGGGGGGAAGGATGGGAAGGGAGAGAGGGATGGAGAATGGGAAGAGGAAGGGAGGAAGGGGTGAGAGGGAACAAGGAAGAGAGGGAAGCAGGAAGAAATAAAGAAAAATAAGAAGGAGAGAAGAAGAAGGGGAAGAGAAGGAGAGAAAGGGTAAGAAAGAAACAAAGAAAGAATATAAAGACCTAATCCCCCACTAACATAATATATAATCGACCTTAAACGACACCTGGCCACTGTATTGACCTCACCACACCTGAGATACAACACAACCAGCCCACTACCTTTCATTAACATCATATATACTACTTAATCCTTCAATAACACCTGTCTCTCGCCTCATCCAATATTCATTCCATTGTTTTATCTTCTCAGAGTGAAAAGGGATTAATATTTAATTTAATTTCGGATCCATTTTGAAACAGGTTCGTGGAAGCATTTTTGACGATAGCGTGTGTGTGTGTGTGTGTGTGTGTGTTTGTGTGTGTGTGTGTGTGTGTGTGTGTGTGTGTGTGTTTTATGATATACCAACATCGTCTCAAAACACCAGGTGAGACACAGGTGATATGAAGCTTAATAGTGTCTCAAAACAAAGTCAAGACAAACAGGAAGTGACATCACCCTGAAGTTATCTCAAAACAAAAGAAAGTCAAAGATAAATATACGAACTGACGGCAACAAGAAGACACATAAACATTCATTAAAAATAAGTGTTGGCACAGGACAACACTGTTACTTAAAACTTGATAGTGTTTACATGATGATGATGATGATGATGATGATGATGATGATGATGATGATGATGAATATTCACAGACAGACAGAGAAGACAGACAGACAGACACACATAACTTCAGCCAAGAAAAAACAATGGCTAATACGGTGAACCTGTTGACCCAATTGCTTCAGGTGATTACGTGGACTCCCAGACGATAAATTACAGGTACAATTGATCTCCGACAGGTAGTTAGGTGGCAGGTGAGAGATGATTAGCTGCCGGGGGTCGTTATAACTCACCTGGGGGTTAAGTTATGGCCGCCGTAATAGGTTGAGTTAGGTGGTACACGTAACTGTTAAGCAGCCATCAGTAACTGTATTGGTTGTGGCGTTGGAAAGGTAAGAGACAGGTGTTGTGGCGTTGGAAAGGTGAGAGACAGGTGTTGTGGCGTTGGAAAGGTGAGAGACAGGTGTTGTGGCGTTGGAAAGGTGAGAGACAGGTGTTGTGGCGTTGGAAAGGTGAGAGACAGGTGTTGTGGCGTTGGAAAGGTGAGAGACAGGTGTTGTGGCGTTGGAAAAGTGAGAGACAGGTGTTGTGGCGTTGTAAAGGTGAGAGACAGGTGTTGTGGCGTTGGAAAGGTAAGAGACAGGTGTTGTGGCGTTAGGATAGAGGTTTCAAAGGTGGCGTGGAGAGCATTAGGATTCCCAGTTACGCGTTTTATCAGCCTCTAGCGTGGAATACAGTAAGGGTCCTGGCGTTGAACATCTCAGGTTAGGTTAGGTTAGGTTTAGCATAGAAGAACACAATGAGGTTTTATACACTGCTAACTCATCCTCCCCCTTCTTATTCTTGCTCCCTTCTCTTCCTACTTCCTCTTCCTACTCTCTCTCCTTCCTTCTTCTCCTCTTCCTCCTTCCTTCTCTTCCTCTTTCCTTCTCCTCCTCTTTCATCTTCCTGTTCTCTCCCCTCGACATATCCGGGAATGGTCGTACTTGGGGTCTCTCTCTCTCTCTCTCTCTCTCTCTCTCTCTCTCTCCTCCCGTCAGTAAGTCGAAATACTCTTAAAGCGAACGAAGAAGTGATCCTTGCGTTAAGTGGCGCCCTCTGTCAACTGAGCGTTTAGTGACATGGTAACGAGGAACTTCTCATTAACCAGATTACCCCCACGAGGAGCCGCGGCCGCTGTAATTATGGCAGCTAACGAGGTGGTCACGGTGGTTGACGAGCTTGTTAGGGTATAAACGAGTAAACACGTATAAATTTCTTAAATACGCGAAGTTGGTGCCCTTAAAGCCTATTCTTGGGTGTGTGTGTGTGTGTGTGTGTGTGTGTGTGTGTGTGTGTGTGTGTGTGTGTGTGTGTGTGCACAAAAACACATGAATGCTTGCACACACACATACATACAAATGCATTCTATGAGCATTAACCAATCAAACCACGTCAAACCCGCATACAAGTGGATTCTACTAAAGTGGACGAGAGGTAAAGGAAATGACCCGTATTGCCCGTGTCATAAAACATCGCCAGTGGTGGCAGAAAGGCGAGCGAAAGTTCGTGTGGCGCAACTTCCATAAACGTGTCATTACTTGATGGAGGGCAACGCCAGGCTCTGCTGAGTGTTAGTGCTGGTGATGTGTTATTATGGTGCTGGTGATGTGTTATGGTGCTGTGTTATTATGGTGATGTTGCTGTGTTATGGCTCTGTGTTATGGTGCTGGTGATGTGTTATGGTGATGGTGCTGTGTTATGGTGCTGTGTTAAGGTATTGGTGTTATGTAATGGTGCTTTTGTGGCATTTTTTATTCAGACCAAAATTTTATGCATTATCTGATATGACGTCGAAGGTGGGATATTTTCATTAGTGTGTGTGTGTGTGTGTGTGTGTGTGTGTGTGTGTGTGAAGGTGGGATATTTTCATTAGTGTGTGTGTGTGTGTGTGTGTGTGTGTGTGTGTGTGTGTGTGTGTGTGTGCCACCTCTCCATCTAGGGGTTAAATATTTCCCCACCATAACTCATGAACAGAAAGCCCCAGTGAGAGTGCTAGAGTGTTGACACGTTACATATATAACTATATTACTGCCCCAAGTGTGATATATGCTTAGGAGTAAAGGAGGTCAAAGGTCAAGGTCATATCTTGAATTAAAATAGAAGGAAGTGGGAGAGGGAGGGAGAGGGAGGAGGAGAGTAGTGGGGAAGGGGGGAGAGAGCTAGTTAGGAGGTGATTGTTCCTAAGCAAAAGAAAGTGGCCATCTCTTGGCACTTTCATTTATTATAGTTGTCTAATGAATGGCTTACCTGTCCTAACTCTCCTCCCCCTTCCCATCCGGGCCTCTTTTCTTCCTCCCTCATCTATAATTTTTATCTCTCTTCCTTTATCCCTTCCATTCTCCCCTCCTCTGTCTTCCTTTCTTTTTCTCTTTTATCTTCCCTCATTTTCCCTCGCCCTCCCCTTTCCCTTGCCGGTGATCATGCCGGCATTGGTGGGAAGATTCTGCCAAGCTAGTGATGAATACGGGGGAAGACTGCTAATTGTAACTGAGAGCCTGAGGAATAAATACTCTCTCCTCCAGTCTCCCTCACCTCCCTCCCACTCTCCCTCATCTCCCTCCCACTCCCCCTCACCTCCCTCCCTCCGTACATCGACCTTTGCTTATGCCATTACGGATAAATATGAACCGGACGTGTAGCTGAGTTACTTACCTGAGTCCTGACCTGACCTAACCTAACCTAACATGGGCGAGGTTATAGGGGTGGATAATAGGCATAATGGGCCTCTCACCCTAATATATCATCCCATCACCCCTTCCATTACCCCCATCACCTCCCATTACCCCCATCACCCCATCACCTCCCCTAACACCCCATCCCCTCCACTATCCCCTGTCACCACCTCCCATTGGCCCTATCACCCCTCCCATTAGCCCCTATCACCCTATCACCTCCCATCACCCCCATCTAGCCCTCATCACCCCCATCACCCCATCACCCCATCACCCTCCCATTAGCCCCCATCACCTCCCATCACCCCATCACCCTCCCATTAGCCCCCATCACCTCCCATCACCCCCATCACTATATCATGTTCAGTACGTGTCATTGTCTGTGTGAGAGACTCCGCTACACAGCAAGTTTCATTCAACAGACACCCCGTGACGTCATACTAGTAAACAAATGACCCTCTATTGACAATTTGATGAGGATATTAGTTAGTTTCTCCGGCCAGACCAGCATGGTGGGTACTGTGATGTATGTGGTATGTTGTTATTGATGTGGTATGTTGTTATTAATGTGGTATGTGGTACCTTCTCCTTCACCCACATCACCACCACCTACCTTCATCCACACCACCCCCTACTCCATCACCACCACCTCCTGCACCACCTCTTTCACCCACCTCCTCCTCCCCCACCCACCAATAAGGGCACCCACATAACCTACCCTGGGCCGGCCAGAAGTTGTACCCTGACACAAACTGAATTTACAACATAATAACTGTATTTTATTACTGTACTCCTGTGTGGTAATGAGCAAGCCTGTGTCCTGCTGTACCCCCTCACACCCTCACCCAGTGGTCAAATTTATGCTGTAGACGTCGGCGAATTAAGAGCTAACAGCGCTGTTCAGTAATGTGGTATAGCAGTGATCGTTAACCTTAACTAATTACGATATCGGTTTTGTGTATGAAGCCCCGTAAACAACCTGTCATATATTTCTTCGTATATATGTATGTTCGTATGTATGTATGTATGTATGTATGTATGTATGTATGTATGTATGTATGTATGTAAGAAAAATACAATACACTAACCTTTCATACCAAGAGGCTTTAATAGTATTGAAAACCTTTAATGCTTCACGCGAGGAAGTGTGTGTGTGTGTGTGTGTGTGTGTGTGTGTGTGTGTGTGTGTGCGCGCCATCTCTACCTGTAGCCGAAATTGCAGATAAAACCAATCCCAGTCCTAATGGGTGCCAACTTAACCTAATTTCACCCCATTATGATAAACACCGGTAATAATGACCCTTGATCCTAATAATTTTAAGTTAAACTGGGGCCTAATTGTAACTGATAGCCAATTAGAAATGGGACCTATTAGGATTGGGGAGGCCCATATGACCAATCACCAACGTAACACCTGTATCACTTACCCCCTCTGGCAGTACAGGTGATGTTGAGAGTGCCACCTTCAGGTATGGGTGACAACACGGGTGGCACTGGGTGACTGTCAGAGTCGGTGATGGAGAGAGAATCCACAGGTGCCACTACTCTCAGTCTGGCCGCCTTGGTGGTGGACTGGGCTCTCATGAAGTCCACTCGGCAGGCGTACCGACCAGCATCACTACCTGACAGCCTGGGGGAGACGGGAGGAGACAGGTAGAAAGGGGTACAGGTAATAGACAGAAACTAAAACAAAAATGAATTATCTATCTATCCCTGTCTAAAGAGAGGTAGGATTATTTATCTATCCCTGTCTAAAGAGAGGTATAGGATTATAATTGTCTAAATGAAGGTAATAATGAATACAGGTAGTAGACAGTAGTAACCATAGAAACACCACTGTCTAAAGCAAGTAGGCAGAATCACTTATAGACAGCAGACAGGAGACAGTAACATCTAAATAAACATAAATAACACCAATAAACAGACATAACGAGAACTGAGAGTAGACAGAAGCTAATGGAGATGGGTGGAATGAGTACCTTATATAGACAGTAACGAGAGAAGAAATCATTACCGTCAATAATAGGGAAATACAGTAACTACTCCCAGTTGACAGTAACGGGAATCCAACACTTAAACTGTCTATACAGAACCATTCCAGAGAGTTATTCAGCTCATAAAACGACAGTAACCGGTAGAGACACCTTAAACTGTCTAATTAGTATTGGACAGGTTGGACAATATATTTACCTGTGATATAATTACCCACTGCAACGTCAACAAACAATTTACCTGAGATACAGTTATTCATTCCTCCAACAGTTAGGTCAGGTCAGGTCAGGTCAGGTTAAGTCTGGTTAGGTTAGGTTAGGTTAGGTTAGGTTAGGTTAGGTTAGGTTTTATGTACTGTTGGGTAGAGAAAAGTTTGTGTGTAAGTCCGCGTAATTGTTAGTTAAGAATAAACTTTCGTCGTTCCTAATGAATTTGTCACGAGAGAAGTTACTTTACATGGTGTTGATATTTGGTTGAAGTTTCTGTTTTTTGTCGGTTTGTCAAGGCGTTCTTATTCTCTTTACATTGTTGTTGTTATTGTTGTTGCTGTTGTTATTGTTGTTATTGTTGTTGTTGCTGTTGTTGATGTTACTGTTGTTGTGTATATGGAGGTGATAAGGGTTGTGGAAACGAAAGAAGGAAGAAAGGAGGGGAGGAAGACCTACCTACTGAGAAAGAAGTTTATACCTACGTGAGAAAAAGACCTTATGAAGACCCTACCTGCTGATGGTGAGAGTGTGGGGGATGGGTTCTCCTGGCGAAGGGGTGAACACGATGCGTCCCTTGAGACCAATGTCCTTCAGGTGGTGTCGCTCGCTGGGGAAGACGGCTCGGCGGGCGTCGTAACTGTGAGGAAAGAAAACGACGCAGGTTAGGAGTACAGCGGGAAACCATTAACAATACAGAATAAATACAGTAATATCTTTGTCTCTTCCTCTTCTCCTTGCCATTTTCCTGTTCTCCTATCCTCCTCCTACTAACCCCTTGTCTCCTCTCCTCTTCCTGCTCCTATTACCCCTTGCCTCTCCTCCTCCTCCTCCCCCTAGTCTATCCTCTTTCTAACTCTCCTCCTTCGTCGCCGTACTCCTGCTGGTGGTGGTCGTGACGTGAGAGGCCGTCTGGTAAACACATCATCACAGGCCCTAAGGAATGGCTGTCTCCGGTGTTGATGCATTATAGAACACGATTACCTAAGACCCGTACACACACACACACACACACACACACACACACACGGTCTTGTAGGTTTAAGGTGACTTTACTTAAAACTTACACACTTCACCTCTGCTAACGACGACGAAGGAGACTATGACAAGAATGAAGGAGAGGAGGAAGAGGAAGGAGAGGAAGAGGAAGAAGGAGGAGGAAGAAGGAGGAGGAGGACGATAACAATAGTTCTTCCCTTTCTTCACACTACTACCCAAATAACAACCCCTGTTATAGCGACACACATGACGACCCCCGTTATATTGACACCTACGACCATTCACCACAACACGAACCTGAACACACACATTCCTTCACCGTTCACTAACTCCTGACGGTGAACGCGTCCTCGCTGCCGTTCACACACGCATGTTGCTCATCCCCCCCACATCCCCGTGACCAGGTATTAATTATGCACCGCCCAACAACTGCCAATCAATTACCCAACAACCACGTTATAATCACCTCAGGTAATTTAAATCACGTGATGAGGTGATTTGTTTCTTGTGATCATAACCTAACCTAACCATTACCAAAACAAGACCACAACAACACACATACATTCTTCACCTAACCTAACCAAACTACAGTAACTCGTTGGTAATATGAGTATCTCCTCTTACCTCTAAGTCAAGGGTTCGACTCCTGTTTCTCAGTGTCCAGTTTCCTCCTGTACTTAACACTAAAAAAATACGTAAATAATAAAAAATTAAATCTTGACGAGCAAAACACATCCTCTCTCCACGAGCTTCCAATGAGCACTGACACAAACACATTAACTACGACGTATTAAATCGTACCCAGAAGAATCCTTAACCCAAACTTAACTTTAAATTATCTTAACTATTTTTTTAACTTACGACACAACAGTTTTTTTTTATAGGAATTTCAAGAATATATTTAATGCTTTTTTTTATGCAGATGCTTAACTATTTTGCCATTATACACACACACACACACACACACAAACAGAGAGACACACACACACACACACACACACCCACAGTTTAATGACAACTGTTTGTATTATTATATAAGAAATAACACCGCAATAAAATACTGGTTTTTTTTTACAATCACAGACATTTAAACAGAAATTACCGTAAGAAATAACTGAAATATCGCACAAACACGTACATTATCGTCCTATCGTCCAAACTCTATCGTAAATCATAGACAGTAGTTGATTATTGTACTTGTATGATGATAATCCTACATCTGGCAACTACGGTTCTCGCTTCTCCGCTCGCCCTTTGAGCAAACAACCACACTGCTACCTTAACGACCTAGATTGGGTAGTTTGGTAGTTTAAAGGTCCCTCTCTCGTTTCTGTTGGAATTATTGTCGTGTTTTGTTTCTCTTATATTTCATTCATTATTCACTGCACTTGTATTATGCATAACCAACAAAAAATCAAATCCCACACTGACGCGGGACAAACACCCCAAATCACCCCCCCCCCCCCCACCCCCCACCCCCCATCCCCTACCCCCCAGGAAAAAACAATAAAAAATATAATACTCATAAGAGGATTCAAAACTTAATAACTCTCTCCTCAAACTTATTAAGTATCATAGAGACTAATTATAAGTATCCTGGTTTATCATTTTCCCGTTAATTGCCTCTCACGACTTAACAGTTAATGAGGTCATACAACTCATTAAGAACTATGACGTCATCCACATAGAGCAAATTACCTTTAAAATGTAATTGGATTAAGGTTTATATTGGGTTTATTTTATTTATTTATTTGTATTTTTTTTTACATTTTCTTTGCAATTTGGGTTTATAGGTTGGTAGCTTTTGTTAGTTTATTGTGAGTTGAATGAACCTGTAATATAGTTCACCTGTGAATTTAATTAGTGTGGCTAATTAACAGGTGTGTGTGTGTGTGTATGTGTAATTTTGTTTCTTATCCAATTGGTTGATGTAAATATTGGTGTGGTTAAAAGGTGGATTAAATTAAGCTAGACTAGATTAAGGTTAGATTAAGTTACGTAAAGGTTAGGTTAGGTTCGATTAAGGATCGCTAGTCTCTCTCCTTCCTTCCTTCCTTCCTGGCCTCTCCCTACCTCTCCCTCCTTACTGGCCTCTCACTTACCTCTACGACCTCACTGGACCCAGGTAAGAAAGTTTTAACCTCCGCCAAACAGCTGGAAGACGATGGCAAGGCGACCCCAGGTAATCTCTCTGATTGGCTGGTGAACCTCCAATAGAAATAAGAGCATTGGTGCCCTGCAGGTCATCCTTACCACCTTAACCTGTGATCTGTGACCTGCTTGATGTCTTGGAGGTCCTTCTTACCACCTTGACCTATGAACCTGTGACCTACTTGTTATCCTACAGGTCATTTACACCACCTTGACCTATGACCTTCGTGTCTTGCAGGCCCTCCTTAACCTGTGACCTATGACCTGTGACCTACTTGGTGTCCTAGAGGTCCTCCTTACTACCTTAACCTGTGACCTATGACCTGTGACCTAGTTGGTGTCCTGCAGGTCACACGCTCTACAGTAGCGTTACGTCTCATACTTCCTCCATTAACCATTACCGAGGCACAAGGTCCCATTGATTCCCCATTAACCTCTACAGCACTTAACACACGGACCACACAAGAGCAATTATAATGGCTGCAAATGGACCCCAATCATAATAGGTGCCAGTTCTCTCTCTCTCTCTCTCTCTCTTCCAGGCACCATATGATGGCTGTAGAGATTGGAGTGGGGTGGGGTAGAAAGAGGTGGGTTTAATAGGAAGGCGTGTGTTTCACCAAGTCAGTGGGTGGTGTTGCAGTTCTTTGATGTCTACAGCAGGAAACGTATAAATATTTTCTGTACACTTCCTCTCATCAAAAGAGCCCGTATGTTGACCTTTTCACTGAGACGCGTGAGGGGTGAGTCCTGTGTTCTGATGATGAGTTCATCTGAATTATTAAGTCTTGTCTCATCTATCAACCACCACCTCCTCTAAATTCCCTAACACAAAACACACACACACACACACACACACACCGTGACGCTACAACTTCAGCACTCACACACACACACACACACACACACACACACACACACACACACACACACACCGTGACACTACAACTAGCACTCACACACACACACACACACACACACACACACACACACACACACACACACCGTGACGCTACAACTGGCACTCACACACACACACACACACACCGTGACGCTACAACTGGCACTCCCGCACACACACACACACACGCACACCGTGACGCTACACCCTGGCACACACACACACACACACACGCACACACACACACACACACACACCGTGACGGCTACAACTGGCACTCCACACACACACACACACACACACACACACACACACACACACACACACACACACACACCGTGACGCTACAACTGGCACTCACACACACACACACACACACACACACACACACACACACACACACACACCGTGACGCTACAACTGGCACTCACACACACACACACACACACACACACACACACACACACACACACACACACACACACACACACACACACACACCGTGACGCTACAACTGGCACTCACACACTTGTTCATTCCCAGTATTGACATGATCGCCGCGTCACCACACCTGCTGACTACATCATGACATTCCTCGTCATCACAACACACCACCACTATCCCCACCACAATCCACTACTACCACCACCACCACAACCCACAAACACCACAACCCACTCAGTGTAAGTCTCTTTTAGGTTAGGTTAGGTTAGGTTAGGTTAGGTTATTTGCTTCCTATAACACGAGATAAAAAAAAAAGTTACGTAAATAATTATTAAAAAACTGATGTTGATTTATCAAGCTTCAAAAACATGGCTATTTGAGCATGTTTCTTTTTTAATGTTTCTGATGAGGGTTTACATACATACATACATACAAACATACATACATACATACCCGGTACACACACACACACACACACACACACACACACACACACTCTCCAGTCAAGAATATTTCATTAAGTTTCTATTTCTTGTAGGATATAATTTTTTTTCCTACCATGTTTTTTTTTTCTAAGTCTTACAAGTAAATTAATTCAGCTCCTCGTTCATCCTCCCCAAAAAAGAGGATTTATTTTCTTCCCTTTAAATATCGTTTACTGAATATATCACTTTCGTCCACAAGATAGATAGATAGATAAATAGATAGATAAATAGATAGATAGATAGATAGATAGATAGATAGATAAATAGATAGATAGATAGATAGATAGATTAAAATTGACAATTATCTTATCAATTTTCATATTCAAGTATAATAGAAAATAAAATAAAATAAATAAATATCAAATTTTTCGTCAGTAAAAAAAAAATTAAGTAAAAAATGGTGAATAACTTATAACTTACAACCAAAACAAACATGGCGTCTCGTAAAGTAAACAAACATGGCGTCTCGTAAAGTAAACAAACATGGCGTCTCGTAAAGTAAACAAACATGGCGCCTCGTAAAGTAAACAAACATGGCGTCTCGTAAAGTAAACAAACATGGCGTCTCGTAAAGTAAACAAACATGGCGTCTCGTAAAGTAAACAAACATGGCGTCTCGTAAAGTAAACAAACATGGCGCCTCGTAAAGTAAACAAACATGGCGTCTCGTAAAGTAAACAAACATGGCGTCTCGTAAAGTAAACAAACATGGCGTCTCGTAAAGTAAACAAACATGGCGTCTCGTAAAGTAGTCAAATGTGTGTAAAAAGTAATATCCTCCAGGGAACTAGTGAAGATCAAACACCTGTTCTCAAGGTGTTAAAAGGTCGATTAATAAACCAGGTACAAGAGATAGGTACAAGATAGAGACAAATAGACAGACACACAGAAAGACAGATAAAAAGATAGACAGGTAGAAATGAGATAAAAAGGCAGATAGACAGGTAGAAATGACAGATAAGGCAGATAGACAGGTAGAAATGACAGATAGGGCAGATAGACAGGTAGAAATGACAGATAAGACAGATAGACAGGTAGAAATGACAGATAAAAGACAGATAGACAGGCAGAAAAGACAGACAAAAAACAGAAAGACAGAAAAGACAGCGATAAATTGAAAAAAAAGACAAAAACAGCAAAAAATTAAAAAAATTAATAAATATAGAAAACATTAGATAATACTTGACACGGTGGAGTTTTTACCTGTATATGGGGTCCTTGGCCTCGTCCTTGTACCAGAGGATGAGGTTGACCTTGTCCTTGGGGTCAGTAGGGAAGAGGTCACAGGGAACAGAGGCGCTTTCACCCTCCACGCCATCCACCGTCACCGACACTGTTGAGGAAGAGGAAACACAATTTAGAGTTTCCTTCAGGTAATGTTAATGTAGTAAAACCTCTATATAACGGATTTTTCCCTCTATATAACGGATTTTTCCCTCTCTATAACGGATGTTTCCCTCTATATAACGGCCTTACCTCCATATAACGGATTTTTCCTCCATTTAACGGATTTTCTCTACATTTAACGGATTTTTTCCTCCATATTTAACGGATTTTTGTCCATATATAACTTATTTTTCTCTCCATATAACGGATTTTTCTCTCTATTTAACGGATTTTTCTCTATATAACACATTTTCATCTCTATTCATCTCTATATAGTTCGTTAGATGGAAGGACCTAATCTACACGTATTCCAAATACACAAATATATTCACCTATTAGAATTATTTAAACACTATATAATATTCATACATCACTTTTACGTTATTTATTCACCTGTATTATCATATTGACATAATTTTACCTGTAATAATTTAGGGGAATGAGGGGTCAGTAATTTAAGGTCTTCGCTAAAGGTCAAAGTTCACTTCAGGACTGACCTTATGTACCCTGAGGAACACCACTCAGGGCAGCGACAGAATCCATACACATCCCATCCATACACATCCCATCCATACACGCCCCATCTATACACATCCCACCCATACACCATACAGAATACCGATTTACGAACGGATTTCTTATCAATATGCAAATACCAAATAACCAGATTAAAATATAGATTGATAAGAGATAGGAAAAAAATATATGTTTAGATAAGGTAATTGGGGAGGGGGAAATTTCTCTCGAGTCAACAGGGAAAGTTTTTTAATCAACAGGGGAATTAATTATGCCTCTAGGACGGCCAGGGGGTTAAAATTCCCTAAATACGGATCATCGGTGATAGGTGAAATAGGTCTGTTCCTTTAGTTCTATTAGATCCTGTCCTATTACCTCCTATTAGTACTAGAGCCTATTAGAAGTAGGACCTATTAGATAGATAGATAGATAGATAGATAGATAGACAGACAGACAGATATTCACAGCATTAGAACAGACAGACAGACAGACAGATATTCACAGCATTAGAACAGACAGACAGACAGACAGATATTCAAAGCATTAGAACAGACACAGACAGACAGACAGACAGATATTCACAGCATTAGAACAGACAGACAGACAGACAGACAGACAGACAGACAGACACACAGACAGATATAGTTATTCACATCAATACAATAAAAGAGAATAGACATAAAACTGAATGGCGGTGTTTACAGAAGACGGTCCACGCCATCATCCAAGACACCGAGAACCTGAGCCCTCAAGATGTAGGAGTGAGTATAAGCGACCCCCTCCCTCTCCACGTCCCTCTCTCCCTCTCCACATCCCTCTCTCCCTCTCCACGTCCCTCTCTCCCCTCTCCCTCCCTCTCTCCTCTCCACGTCCCTCTCTCCCTCTCCACGTCCCTGTCTCCCTCTCTATCTCGACGTACTCCCCCCTCTTCCTCTCCTCGCTCCCTCTGCCATCCACACTCTTCCCTCCTCTCTCTATCCCCCTACCTTCTCCCCTTTCCCCTCCCCATTCCTTCCCCCCGTCCCTCCCTTCTCTCCCTTTTCCCCCTACCCGACCTTCTCCCCTCTCTGGTATATATCCTATAATCCTCTCACCTAACACCCAGACATAACATTATCCCTCCCTCCCTTTCCCCCCTTTCCCTCCTCCCATTCTCTCCCTTCCCTCCCTCCTTACCTCCCATTGTTACAGCATCTCTATTCGTATAAATCTGGCGTCATAATGCATACCCCGATATCGCCATGAGAGCTGAGATCATTTGAATATCGACAGGAATTCTTGCTTCTGGGCCCCGGATGATTTTCCAGGAGGAGCCGCACAGTAGAGGTTAAAGAGTCAAAGGAGTTAAGGATCTCTGTTTTTACTCTATTATTTAGTGTCCTTCTCTTCCTCCTTCTCTTCCTCGTCCTCCTTCTCCAACTAACACCTCCTCCAATCAACACCTCGTCCTCCAGCTAATCCCCCCTCCTCCTCCAGGCAACCCTTCCTCCTCCTCCAGCTAACCCCTCTTCCTCCTCCTACTCCAGCCAACTCCTCCTCCTCCCTTATAAAGAAAGAGAAAAAGATTAGTGTTTACGGAAGAGAGGGAGAGAGAGAATCAGAGATAGAGAGAAAGACTAATGTTTCCTGTTAAAGATTCACATATGTCACGACCCCCTCAACCTATAGAAGGAGACAGAGATGAATGTTGGTTAGTAAATATTCACACGTACCAGGACCTCCCTTACGAGACAAAAACAAAGATGTCGTGTTAAAAGATTCACAGGTGTCTGGTACCCCTTTAAAAGACAAGAGAGGAGGAGTCTTTTTTGTGTTAATGATTCACAGGGATTGAGCTCGTGTGTGTGTGTGTGTGTGTGTGTGTGTGTGTGTGTGTGTTTTCTTGACTAAATCTTGTGTATTAATGAACCTATTCCATTAAATCCGTTCTAGGAATTCGAATCCTTGGATAAAATTACCCTAATCGTCGTTTAATCATTCCAATCCTCTTTTTAATCTTATCCTAATCCTCCTTAATCCTAGAATAAATCCTCTAATCATAGGATAATATTCCCAATCCCCACTTAATCCTCCTCCTAATCCTTATTCAGGTCTTTGTAATTCATGCTGAGTTTCTTGTGTCCTTGTCAGATCTTCCTAATCCTCCTTCCTAATCCTCGCCAATCCTTTCACGGGTCTGAGGAAATGTCTTTGTGGAATTAAGCCCATCAACCCCTACTTCCCCCTCCACTTCCCTCACCCACCGCCACTTCCCCACCACACGCCACTTCCCCTCACCACACCGCCACTTCCCTCACCACACTGCCACTTCTCACCACACCGCCAGCTTCACCCCTCACCACACCGCCACCACACCGCCATTTTCCTTCACCACACTGCCATTCTCTTACTTCCCTTTCTCTCACCACTACCTAACCAGTTCCCCTCAACCCCCCCCCACCTAACCTCTCCTTCATCTCCTCCCCTCATCGTTGTCCCCCTCCTATGAGCTGACAAAATCTTGAGCTGACATTAAATCCACGGATCTACAAACCTGCAGCTGACACCCTCCAGTCGCTGACGAGTATACCACACAAACGAGTATACTACACTGACGGGTATACCACGCTGACAATGAGTATGTACGCCCTGATATGAACATACTCTAATGAAAATATAATCGCGGAATATGATCTGACAGCAAATTACCCTCCCAACAATAGACCCTGCCAACCATTGGGCCCTGACAACACGCCCTGATAACGGTGCCATGACAACAATGTGTGTGTTGACAGCTTAATATACTTCATGCATGCACACACACACACACACACACACACACACACAGGTTTATAACACCACCTTGGACACATAAACAGTGGAGCGCCACCTTGGTTCCCCAAATTACCTGAGCTCATGTAATTATCACCTTAACTCAGCGGTTACAGGTATTACACTCATTACCTCGGCACAACGCGATACAAACGTTGGAATACAAGAACCTTCTGTATCGCCGTGACCTCCGGGTTCATAATTAGGATTTAGTACGCTATAAATTACAGACATTACAGTAGTTTTTTGTAATGTACGATATAGGAATTAGAACACATATATATTCTGTATTTAATAGGATTTCGTGGGGTAAATTGATTTGTATTTATGTTACATTGGTTACAGTTGTTGTCTGTAACATCTTTTAGAGCTATGGTGAATCCGTGGGTACAGTGAATTACGTCATTATATTCAAAAGACTACAAAAATACAATGCAACAAATCTGGATACAGTGAACCTTCCATTACAGCAATTATATCACTACAATACATACCTACTATACCACAAGATACATAATTACAGCATTTTAACACAACACAGCTACCCTTCATGATCTCTAGCTTACAGGAAGACTTACTGTATCGAGATAAATTAAGTGAAGAGAAAATAGAAAAATAAAATTAATTGATGTGGATTACTCGTGTGTGTGTGTGTGTGTGTGTGTGTGTGTGTGTGTGTGTGTGTGTGTGTGTGTGTGTGTGTGTGTGTGTGTGTGTGTGTTTGTGTGTGTGTGTGTGTGTGTGTGTGTATGTGTGTATGTCATGTAGGTATGTATATAAATACGTATACATAAAAGCACATTGGTATGCATAGTCAGTACGGTATATATGTACTGTATATATATTATGTATTTCTTTTTTTTTTATCAATCCAACATTTCACTTTTTACTGAAATTGGTGAGTCAAGGTGAATGGACATGCAAATTATCAGTTCATTTATCTATGAGTTTATTACAGGTACAGGTACAGCCATGATGTTACCTGCTGTATGATTGGTCTAGTTACAGTAGGAACATAATTAAGACACAGTAGTGATTAGATTCAAGCAAAATAAATCTGTCAGTCTGTCTGTCTGTCTGTCTGTCTTTCTGTCTGTCTGTCTCACCCTGGAAACCCCTTCACCTGAAACCTTCTTGAAAATAGAAGCTTACTCACTGATGCTAGTTTTGGTGTTGTGCAATTGAATGTCAGTCTCTCTCTCTCTCTCTTTTTCACCCCCTCTCTCTTTCTTTCTCCCCTCTCCCCCTCTCTCTCTCTCCCCCAAGCGTACCAGCGATGAATTGATAATAGGAAACAGATCCACGATTGTATTTCATCTTTATTGCTTACGTTGGTTTCACTGGCCTAAAATACTGAACGAAATAAAATGGTGTGGGAGGTGGGATATACAACGTTATTTATCAATTTATTTTAATGTTTCAGCATTTTTTTTTGTATCGCGTTTTTTTGTATCGCGTTTTTTTGTATCGCGTTTTTTTATTTCGCGTTTTTTTTTTGCGATTTTTATTTTTTCGGTAATTTCGTTTTTTTTGATTATTATCGTGATTTATTTATTATTATTTCATGTTATTGTCATTTTCTTTCTACACACACACACACACACCTTCACACACACACAC